AAAAAAAAAAAAAAAAAATGTACAGTCAGAAGCTATTGCTGAACATGCTGGACAACCACTGCATTCACTGCAACGAGCAGATAGCCAACAATGGCGAACAAGACCAGCCTTTGTCCTCTTACGACTTTGTCTACCTCCCCATTGATTTCATGTGATAAATTACATCCTTTTTTTCTTTCTAATAATAGAGTTACTAATAACTACAGTATTGCTTTCTAACCCTCGAATTTCGTTCGTTTGTTTAGCAACAAGTGCAATGTCGGATATGGGTTTGTCAACATGACTTCCCCACAGGCAACATTGAGGCTCTACAAAGCCTTCCACCACCAGAACTGGGAAGTCTTCAACTCTAGAAAAATATGCCAAGTCACATACGCACGATTGCAGGTATGTATTTATTTATTTATTTAGACAATAATCTTCTTTTCAAATTAAGTAATTAGTAGAATATTAAATCTTGGTCTAAAAGTGCAAGATGTATTAATATTTTTGTTTCCTCAATCTACCCAAAAATGAGGAGTGTTTATCTAATGCCTTAAAGCTTCATGTATTATGAATAGTCCATTTAATGATACGATACGACCAACATTATTATTATTATTATTATTGTTATTGAATATCTTAATTACTATTATACGACTCGAAAAGGGAATAGAGGCACTGAGAGAACACTTCAAGAACTCCAAGTTCCCGGGCGAAGCAGAAGAATACATGCCAGTAGTGTTCTCACCACCTAGAGATGGGCGGATACTATCCAAGCCTGTCCCAATAACAATTGCTAGCACCTCATCAAGTTCCAAGGAAAAAGATGAATCTCAGCCACAAATCTAACTGGAACCCAACAAGATTGACAATGGCAGCCACAGCTTTGATGGATGTGTCTTTTTGTTGTGCTTTCCGGGTCATGCACAGGTTAATCGAAGCTACTTGTGATTCCAGTGCTCATATGTTACATGTAGTAATTGCATACCTTAGAATGTTACTACTATAGCCTATCAATGGTTACAGCTCAACTTTTTTGCTCTTCTCTTTTTAGTACGTATTTTTGTTTCTTTGCATCTTCCCTTTTGTGTATGGGACGGGAAAGATATGGTTGTTAAGTTGTGAAGACTGGTAAATTTATTTATTTTGTGGTTAGGCTTTTGGAGAGTGAATTATGTTTTCTTGTATTTTTTGATTTTTCTTTTTTTTT